ACGTGGCACAATACGCGAGCTTTTATTACGACTATCAATGGCGAGACGATTGTAACCAAATGTTTATTGTTAGTGATAAAGAGTTAAAATATATAATTATTATTGAATATTAATTAATGGTCAGAGATTTTTATGAATATACATATTTAATTTTTCTTTATCGAAACAGAGAAGTATGTACATGAGAAAATAAGTGTATAATGGTAGACCCCTTCATCGCTTAAAGTTATTTCTTTCAGGAAATATTAAGATACATTAAAAACTGAGATAGTGGCTGAAATATATAATAAATAGGGAAAAGCTCTTGGCTGACCTAATCGTATTCACGATACATATTAAAAACTAAGTTAACTATTCGCGAGGTTCTTAAGGATTCTGAGGATATTTTCAAATCGCTTTAGTTGGAGGACAAGTCCGAAGCTGAATGGCTTGTGGCCAAAATGACTCCATGTGTAACGGCTGAAGGTACCTGTTTCCATGATATCTGTTCTGTTGATGTTTTTCTGGTAAAAGTAGAAGACGGTATTAATTATAATTTCATATAAAATTTTTAATAGAACCCATATTGCTTTACTAAGATATAATTAGTCACAACATTAGGTTTGCGTTTTTGAACATATCACTTTTAAGTATAAATTGATAAAATCGACTTTTAAAGTGAATGAATTGAAATAAACAAATTTAATAATATTTACTTAGTATTTTTATTATCGTAAAAGAATATTAATGACTTATTAGAAAAAGAATTACTTATCGTGTAGGATTTTATCGTGATCGAAACTTGAAGAAGTACATCCTTATCAGTTAAGATAGGAACAGTATTAACTGTAAGATTTATTTAATCAAAGCAATAAATTACCTTTGAGTTAATAAACAGTTTCGTAAACAAATTCAATTATTACAATATATGCGTGTTTGCTTTATTTTCTTTTTTAAAAATCACTGCCATTGGTAGCTGTTCATATATAAGTAAAGCTTTTAGTCCACTTTCAATCTTGAGGTTTTCAAAATCAAGTTCGGCTTTGTAAACCATTTTGCTAATACGCAACTTGGATAGTAAGTGAATTTGTGCTACAATGTAGATCATACAATACACGAACTGGACAAAAATGCACATCAGAGGTTTATTGCTAAAAGTTAAATCCTCCAGATAAAGATTAGACAAAAATTTAAAGGATTTGATATAAACATAGTTGTTCCTACAGCGTGCAAAAGACTCAATTAAAATGAATTGATTCCTTACGTATAATTTAACAAAATATTACATTCGAGTTTTTAAATATCTCCACTATCTGATCAATATCTTTCTCTAGATAAAAGCGAATACGTTTTCTTAAATGTTTTGTTATATTTATGGTAGTTAAATAAATTACCCGTCCCGTGAAACCAGAATAGCCTCTCGAGCCTGCTGTCAATTAGGTAGGAAAAAACAAAATAAAGGATTACCTTATTGGTGGTAAAAAAAAATATGGTCTGATTTTAATTTATAATATGTTGCACTCGAATTATGTACAATATTTAAATCTACCAATACAGTATATTTATAAATTGGTACTAGCAAACACAGCATTTTGAAGTATCAGTAACGTAACATGCGTGATCCACACAAATCAAATAATCGCAATGATCCAGAGCTTCTTTCCCACTGATCCTTAATCAAAGAACGAATTAAAACAAATTAAATGTTTGGCTAAACGCTTTGGGGAACTTAATCTTAATTGGTGGTGTATAATTGGCCAATCTATCGCCACCCGATCACAGTCTGAGTGCCATTAACTACATCGGTAATGTTGTATCGTACGCAAATCGCTTTGTACGAAGGGAGAGTTGCACTTTCGCAACATTGTGGATTTAAATGTTATATTTGCTCAGAGATCGAAAGGATTTGTCTTGAGAATCTATGATTTGAGGTACGATTGACAATAGTTATGTTTAAGCAGTGATTACTTTTGAGACTCCGGTTTCCGTTCAATTAATTAATTATCTAACTAGAATGCTGTAACCACCGTTATATGTATGTTTAGTTAAAGAGCAAATGTTATTTATAGTTAAATTTCATGATTATTTTCTTTATTTTATTATCTGAATATATACTCTTTGGTCACTCTGGTAGTAATACTGAAAAAACTGACTATCAAATTATTTAGGCACATTTTTAGTCTTAAATTAAAAATGCGCAGGCAATTTATTTTGAGCAAGATGGCTACACAGTAGCACTTTATATGGGTAGCCCTGACTGCGTGTGTCAGATTTGTCACTTAACGTCGGATAATAAAATAAACACGAGATTAAATCGTAAAACTTTCTTTGTGAGCAGCGGTACTTCGAAAATGATGTTTTTAAAGTGAACATTGTGTAAATCACAAGTGTTTATATTGTGCTTGAAATTATTGTAGATATTGAATAAACCAATGTTATTATAAAGAGGTAGCCGGTCACCGTCCTCACCGAACCCGTCGCTTGCGATCAAGGGCTCGGCGAGTAAATTAACCCATAGACACAGCTCACGGAGTTTCTCGCCAGATCTTCTCAGTGGGTCGCGTTTCCGATCCGTTGATAGATTCTGCGAAAACCTAATCTTGCTAGGGCCAGTGTTAGCAACACCTCCGGTTTGAGCCCCGAAAGCTCACCTAGACACTAGGGTAATACTGATATAGCCTCTCAAGGCTACCAGCATAGGTAGGAAAAATAAAATAGAGGTGTCCGATCTGAATTGTCAAGGCGTGGTTTACTATAAGTTTTTTTCATTACCAATTTAATTAGCAATCCATTAATTTCCGTCGGTAACGATATCGGCGCGTATGTCTTTGCGAGTATATTGATTGTAAGATAGAATTAATTTTGTAAATTGCAGTATAAAGAAACCTCTTTAGCTAAGATATTTTAATGAAATAATATAACAATTTAACTTTGTATATATTTTTATATTGTAATTGTGTATTTATTATGTAGGTGTCTTCTTGGTTAATAGCGAGACACTTAATAACTAACTGTGAAAAATGATTAACACCTGTGTGTTAATACGTTTCATCTTTCGCTGGCTTTAGTTTGGGCTCTTGTGGTAAGGTCAAATTAGTTTAGGCAAACCGAACATCGTGTTCCTACAGATATTGAACGTTTTAGTTAACGATTTCGTTTTCTACTGAATGAAGTTCTGGTTGAAACAGCATTCCCGAAATACTTTGTCTGGAACTAGATTGCCGCCAAATAAAATTGAAACTAAATTGTTCTTAGAAACTATGCTTTGCTGCCTTTCCGAAAATTCTGAATATTGTTTTTTAATCGCTTGAGGGAATATCTCGTCTTGATTTGTATTTAATTAAAGAGACATCTAACTTCTGACTTTTAATTACCTTAATTTTATTTATCAGGGAAGTCACAAAGCCCAATGTGTTCTCGCAATAACCATATAATAACAAATATTAAATTATAATTGTTTACCAAGTCAATCTATATGATGCTGAAATGTTACTATCCAAAAACGCAATGAATAGATATAGTAACGAAATGGGTCTGATGTAGTTTATTAGCTCTCATATGGATGGAAGGGTGTTGTGGTCCTGGTATTGGTACAGAGTATCAAGACTAATAAGAAATACAGGAAAAGCGTTTCATTGTGTTTCACTACAAAAAGAAAATAGTCAACAAAAATAAAGGTAACTTATCAAATCGTAATCTTCTTTGTTATCACATGAGGACAATAAGCGTATTTACAATTTTTCTTTTCCCTAAATATACGCGCAATATATGACATTCGCTTATCAGATGAGTTCTAGGTAACGATAAGTAAAATTTGCAAATTGTAATTCACAAAGACTATTGCGAGACAACGGTGTTTTAAACGGTAGCCGGCGACGAATCTGATTAAAGTCTTGTTGACTCGATATAAAATCTTGCTGTTTTTAACATGGTAAAAATAGTTTAGCTTTATTAAAAAAATATTATATAAAAATTATTATTGATAAAAATATTATTAGCTTTTTTTTGTAACATAATAAAAATATATTAAGCATTAGCCGTCACATGTGTGGAGACAACATTATTTGTATATCATCATTATAACGGAATAATTTTTTTTTATACTTGAAGCTTTACTGGTTTCCAGTTTCGCTAGGACAGGACAAGTACGATATATTTATCTAACAAAGAGCACGTAACGATTCCTAATATATTTACTGCAACGTATACAATTTTTTAATCTTGGCCCATTGTATTGTCGAACATAAGGACCATGCTAGCTTTTAGGCCGGATTCATAGCATTCAAGATACAAGCTTGATGGATCAAACTTTAACAAGTATCTATAGGATATTTTAAAAATCTCAGCACAGGAATTGAGTATGAGTTATCCGGTCATTTAATATTTATCTTAAATTAAAAATCTGTTAAGGTAGCGGAATGCAAACGAAACTACTTATTTTGGAATCGTCAGATTATAGACTTAAAAACCGAGTATGCTGTACACAGTGCTTCTTTGCCTGACTTGGAATATTTTTACGCTTATCTTAGAAGACCCTTGGTTATTTTGTAATTAGATAAATAAAAATGTTTTTTTTTTTACAATAAATATGTCGGAGACGGTCTTCAGTTTGGTAGCTAAACGAAAAGCAGCACGATTCCCGAGGTATGGCAACACGATTGCGGTATCGTCGGAACTCGATTAACTTCGTGCTACAACAGAGCCTAGCCTATGGAGGCGCGTAGACGCCATCACACTTATCAACCAGCCTTCTTGAAGAGCGGTGCCTCCGTCCTAAGAACTGTCATTCGTTTTCGTTTGCTAACGTCAAGAGATTTCTAAATTGTTCTAAGACAACAAACGCGATTGGTGTACTCAATATATCTTAGCTCGATCACCCTATTCACCCCTACGATGTCTGACGATGGTGTTAATAATTTTAGTTTCTCCGACAAATATAATTGTGAACATTTTCCGTACATCGAAGTAGTTTACGTTGTAACATAAGTACTTGATTCAGTTATATGTTTGTTATTCCTTACCGAGATTAGCGTAGTACCCGGCCGGATGCATCGTGACCGTACTGATCACCGGAGTAATTCCATTTGTCACTTACCTATAACAAGTATACATGAGATTTTAGAAATTATCGAAAAGTTCATGTCAAATTAAATTCACAAAAATCTCTTTGAATTCAACGAATTCGTGTCTATTATTATTACGGATTCGAATGTCGAAAAATATTGTTTCAGTTCGGAATATGTTTAATGTATTTTATGATCAAATTATGTCACATTTTTACTGTTATTCCCGTTATCGTCATTACATTTTTTTTATTCTAATAAATTGTTCAATTTCATTCACTGAAGTGATGAACAAAAAAAGGAATATCAATGAATTTTCAGTGAAATTTTATTAATAATTGTATTGTATTAAGTATCGTATTGTATTGTATTAATTGTAAGTATTGAAATCACGGTTACAATAAAACCCTGTAACATATTATTATGTTTGTTAATACAAAATATAATCTAAGAACCAAAATAGTGAAAATTATTTTTGTATACTTAATATCATCATCATCGTCATCATCATATCAAAATTGGCAGATGCAATACAATTTTTTTTGTATCTTGAACAATTTTTTTTTTTTTTTTTTTGTTAACAAAAACGCTTGTAACGAAACGAATATATCATTGATAAACTCTATTAACAAAACAGCAATAATAAATTTCAACGTGATAAAGATACAAAAACAGTAAATCCGTCTTTCGTAGAAAACTCAGTTCATACAGACAACACTGATAGTTTAAATTGTATCATGTTAGGAAATATTAATAATAATAGATTAGAGTTAGCTATTTAAATTTTGTGTTCATAACTTGAACTTGAGACCCATTGAGTCCATTCTGGACTCATTTACTCACTCACTCTTTATTCATTGTTATGGAGTTGAAATAAGTAGAGAAGGATCACGCTTTACGAAAAACAAACTGTAAAGTTCAAGGCAATTTCAACGCACTTTGCAGCAACAAAGTATGCAATCGAAATAGCGGCACTATTCCATAAGGGTTACAGAAACTCATAATAAGTTACGTGTAAACATATAACATATAATTACATAGTTACATGTATACATAGCCGTCTGGGTACGGCGGCTAGTCAGGCCGCCCGGACGAGCCCACTGAGTTTCTCGCCGGATCTTCTCAGTGGGTCGCGTTTCCGATCCGGTGGTAGATTCTGCGAAGCACTGCTCTTGCTAGGGCAAGTGTTAGCAACGTCGTCAGGTTTGAGCCCCGTGAGCTCACCTACTAGTTAAGGTTACGCTGAAATAGCGTCTCAAGGCTATCATCAGCTTAGGTAGGAAAAAAAGAAAGAAAAAAATCGCCCGGTCGGTGCTAATGGTGTTTTGGAATATCACGTTGGACCAGAACCAGCCTGCCGGGTCGGAACGCGATATACTGTTAACCGGTCGATCTTGTGTTAGATCAAAGCTACATGGCAGCGCGGTAGAGTCCTGGTACCGAGTCGCACGGTCTCAACCCCTCCGGTCGCCTCATGACTTTCAAGGGAGGGTGACACTCGACACCTGCAGGATGAACTTTTGCATGAGAAGCAAGCTTTGAACGATACGAACGGGCTTCAGTGCTCCCGCCGTATATCAAGTTCAATTTTTATAATATGTTCATCATGAAAGTCATACGCATTTATAAAATACCTATTTTAATAGAAAAATTGGTATTTGCCTGCGGGATTTGAACACCGGTTTAGTCACATCGGTCGATATGGGTACACCAGGCGGTTTATCTTTTAGGCCATATCGACAAGCGATCTGATCATCATTTACATCATTTTCATTACTAGCATATTTAAGCACACTGTTGCAAAGCATCACTTTATACCGTTTATAATTTCTGCGTCCTATTCTTAGGAGTCCGCACGGGTAGGTACCACCACCCCGCCTATTTCTGTCGTGAAGCAGTAATGCGTTTCAATTTGAAGTGTGGGGCAGCCGTTGTAACTATATTGAGACCTTGGAACTTATATCTCAAGGTGGGTGGCGCATTTACGTTATAGATGTCTATGGGCTTCAGTAACCACTTAACACCAGGTGGGCTGTGAGCTCGTGTGAATCATCCAAGCAATAAAACAAAATGTGCGTCCATCGTACTATGTACGTAAACCGCAGAATGTAGTAATCACCAATAATAACAGACGCGCATAGTAAATCGGTATAGGCGCGTGAATAATTGATTCTAAGTGCATTACATTTCAATTTAGCACACCTATGACATTATTTAGAATGTACGCGGAGTATTAACGTAATAACGCAATATTATGTACTTGATTACGAATAGTTTGAGTGTTTTTTCAAGCGTTGACTTAGGTTACTTTACATTTTCGAATATTTAATCAATCTTGTGAGCACGTTTTTCACGGTCAGTATACTTAGTTCGTCTTAAAATATCGTACTGCGTATCAGCTAAATCATATTTATGAAAATGAATATCATTTTAATTTTATGAACTGTAGCAAAAAATCTATTTGGGATGTGGGACGACTATGATACATGTCGAGTAATTTTTCAATTATGCAAAGCATTTCCATTATATATAAAAAATGTATATTATAAACTACACTCTAGCTAGTATTACGTTCCGAGTTACGACTACTTGAGAATCGCTTTAAATACAATCACTATGTAGATAAGATATAAAATTAAACAATAACAAGTCAAATTGATTACTGTATTTTTGTTTTCGTTAAACAGAACAGCTACCTCTATTAAATTACCACATTTAATGTACTTTTTGATTGTTCATTAATTATCANTATATTATAAACTACACTCTAGCTAGTATTACGTTCCGAGTTACGACTACTTGAGAATCGCTTTAAATACAATCACTATGTAGATAAGATATAAAATTAAACAATAACAAGTCAAATTGATTACTGTATTTTTGTTTTCGTTAAACAGAACAGCTACCTCTATTAAATTACCACATTTAATGTACTTTTTGATTGTTCATTAATTATCAATAACCACAAATCAATCACATTGACCACGGCCCGAGCGTGGCTTCATCGTGAAATGGTAAACGTTCGATTTGAGCTGCATTGAATTATTCAGTAGCATTATTTGCATCTAATGTGCTTCGAATATTCAGCCAAAATCCATGCAGGGTTGCATATTCCGAGCTAGGCATGCGGGGCAGAGCACACGTGGCTGCCACGGCTGCCTTCCCCGGAATCTGACCAAATACCCATCGCAGCTCGATTGTTAGCGAATAGCTTTGGCTTATTTATAACCGATACCGCCCGTAGGACGGATTCACAACAAATCTTATAGGCAATAATCTATATTAATTATTTCGTGACGGAAAACAAGAAACCGAGGATGTGTTCCTTAACGTTCTACAAATTAATATATTTTTAAATCTATTCTATTCTGTATACAACAAGTAAAGGTAATTCGGTAAATTAAAGGCACGAACTAATTGTTTGAATATGTGACACGACGTGCGTTTCAGTTTGTTTAAGTATGGATAATCCTCATAAATAGCAATTTACTTCGTGACAAACGATCTACGTTACGTCTCTAGGTTTGGAAATCGCGTATAATACAGCTATTGTTAATTATACAAGTCACCGCGTCGCTAAACATACGATTTATTGTCAGCTAACTGGAACGGTGATACATCTAGCGTGAGATCAGTGCGGCTGCCATCTCGTACCGCAATGAATAGCCCAAAACGTGAAAAGCTAAGACAAATATTCTTTCGACAGGGAAGCTGTCATGTCCTTTCACGGGCATACTATGCTAAATGATTCTGTTTACAAAACTTTACTTTCACAATGTTTACAATACCATAGAACGTTTCAGACATAGTTATAATATAGCTCTAGCACAGATATTTTTTTCTTATTAAATACCCTCTGGGATGTTAGTGGGCGCTGGGTATCTTTATTTACGACTGCACGTCACTAAAGCTGCTTTAAGAATTGAAAAATCGACATCCTTCGGCTCAGCAATGTCAGTCGAACGGCGATCGAACGGGTAGATAACAATAATCAGTCTTTAGATCTGACGGCAACGCTTTTTGAAGAAAAACTGGCGGCTGCGACCTTACCGCTTACTTACTCAACATTATGCTTTTAACGGAAACTTATCGGTATATCAAATCTAGAGCGGCGATTAGGAAACAATAGGAATATTAATAAAAAGTATCGCCGGAGCAAAGCATGAAGCGTTCTAATGTTTACGAGTGTTTCGGTTGTATACAGAACCCTATTCATTTTCAATAGAATTTACAGACTCGTTTATTTTTATCCGACTTCAAACAAGGAGGAGGTTCTCAATTCGACTGTATTTTTTTTTATGTTTGTTACCTTATAACTTTTGACTGGGTGAATCGATTTTGACAAATCTTTTTTTATTAGAAAGCTGACGCTTCCCGTGTGGTCCCATTTCAATTTATCAATCCTTCAATTTAGTTCTGATAATGGTATCCATGAGAAAACCATATAAGTCTTAAATTTGCATTAAGTACGTGCGCGACAAATAAATGAATTACTCAATATCACGCCAACCGATTTCGATGATTATTGTTTTAGAGTATATTAATTTGTTTTGGAATATCTTTTTTTTTCTATCTGAAGTCGGTTTTTGTTAAAGCATGTCTATTTACAATTATTTAGGTTCTAATCAGTGGAACAATTAGTGAAATATTTGATTAGTACGTTTGTGTATTTTGTTGATATAACATATGTATGAAACCAGATTACTGTGTGTGGGACGTCCTACGAATATATTAATTTACAGAAGTTCGTGGTGCGAAATTTAAATTCTAAACGGAAATAGTTAATGATATTGATATAGTTTTTAAAGCAAATAATTATTAAGCGATTTAAAAAAATAGGATTGGAGATTCAAAATAATGAGAATTATGGTATGAATTTGTAAAAAGTTAAAGAGTACTACTATAACTAAAAACAATGTAATAATGAACGCGGCTGATCCTTCTCTAATGCTGACATTCTGACACCGAGTATCCTTACTCACAGTAATATTGGTTTATCTACTCGTAATGCGATATGTTTTCTTTTTGTTAT